TTCAAAGCCAGTTTTCAGGAAGATAGAAGAGTCCCTTCTGTCTCAAAGTCCATCTTCAGGGACTCAAGGGTGTGGACAGCTTTTTATAAGAGAAGTAGAGGCACTGTGGGACATGAGGTAGGAAATACAGATTTAGCTAGGCTGTGTTTAGTCAGAGAATATGTCAGTCTTCATTTCCTTGATGTCGGTCCTCAGAATGAGGAAGTATCAACAGTTATCAGGAAGTTGCATTTGATTTCAAAGGGTGTTTGCCTCAGAAGGAAATTCTGACACAGTTTACAACATAGATGAGCCTTAAAGACGTTATGCCATGTGAAATAAACCAGTCCCAAAAGGAAATTACAGATATATAATTATACATACTATTATACATGGAAACTTCTAGAGTTAAGTTCATGAGAGAAAGGGAGAGTTTGCAGCAACAGGAGAGAAAGGAATAGGAAATTAATGTTTAATGGGCAGAGTTTGAGTTTGGCAAAAGGACAAGCATTCTGGGGATGGGTGGTGGTGATGTTTATACAACAAAGTGAATACACATAATTCACTGGATTGTGAAGTTAACATGGTTAAAATAATGAGTGTTATGTTATCTAGACTTCACCAAAATAATTTTTAAAATAGCTATTGACATTTGTATTCAGACACTTTCACATGTAGGAGACAGAAAATGCCACCTGAACTTGCTTAAGCCTTATAGGACTTTCTGACTCATATCATTGCAAATCCCAATCAAGGGGGAAGGTGAATGAAGTAGCAGGTGCAAGTGACTAAAGGGTCTTAAAATATCCTTCAGGAGAACTGGGTCCAAAGCTACCTGGGAAACAGGCATCAGTGGTAGGGTGGTAGGTCCATCTGGGACAAGAGAAGGTGGCTGAGTTGGCTTCCACTCCTTGCTCGTGGACTTAAGACTGCAATGCCTTTGCTATAGTTGTGCCATTAGCTCTTAATCCACTCTCCTGGAGCTCTGGTTTTGGTTACACTGTGTGCTCTCATTCTTCACTTACACTTTCACTTGGATTCCCTGAATAGTTCTTCTGGTATCCATACCAGATCTCTGGTAGACTAACCCATCGTCCAGTTTTTCTGATTTCTAGGGTAGTGCTTCTTGCTTTTACCTTTGTTCAATCTCACTGATGACCAGGATTCCTTAGTCTGGCTCTGCATTCCATGAACACCCTGATATACCTTCTTTGTTTTCTCATCATCTACTCACCTGTAGCTGTTGAAGGGGAAAATATCCATACCAGGACTGGGGGCTGTAGCTCAATGGCAGAGCGATTGCCTAACATGTGTGAGGCTCGGGATACGACCCTCAGCACCACATAAAAATAAATAAATAAAATAAAGGTAGTGTGCCCATCTACAAATAAAAAATTATTTTAAAAATATACATATCAGAGAGTTCAAAGTCCAACTGTAGCATCCAACTGCAGTTCTACACTGAAGACATTGGTCATAGTCAGAAATGGGGCACTGTCTAATGTCAGAGAATACAACCATACTGAAAGTAGCTCTCGACATAGTTCCACTCATGAGTAGTCATACTTTTTTGTTTTGTTTTGTTTTCTGCAGTGCTGGTGATGAACCCAGGGCCTTGAGTATGCTGTGCAAGTGCTTTACCACTGAGCCACACTGGAACCCTTCAGTACCAAAGCAAAAGACATGAGGATGACTATAAGCCAGGCCATAAAGTTCTGTTAGACATGGTGTCCTCCTTCTTGCCCTCAAGTCAGTATCTATGAAACCAAGATTCAGACTGTCCTGTTGACACTGTCACCATAGAGGCAAAGATTGGCTTCTTTGCAGCTGTACCTTTGAGAATTCCTGCTGAGCAATGAAACAATAATTCCAGAGAGTAGGTCAGAGGGCGTGAGCACCAGACTGAGGAGGAGGATGGGGTCTTAATGTTTAGGTGTTTTTAAAAATTACAATCATTTTAATTTGGGGGACCAGGTTGGCATTCCTGTGGATGAAGGCTAGAGAATTAGCATGGACCTCTTCTTTCATCCTGTTGATGAGCAAGAACCTGGAATGTTAGGCAGGACAAATGGAATAATGGTGAATCTCAGTAGCAGAGACCACAAAAAAGTTCTATGATTATCATGGATCTGACCCCATGTAAGGGCATGGACTCCTTTCCATCCTGCATATGTAGGAAATCTATGCAGAGTTTGCAAAAGAGGTGAAGCCAAATACCCCAGTGTCAGCAGTCTAGCTCATTGAGCCACTCTGTAGGCCCTCATAAGCAACATGCAGTAGCCAGAATGTTCACATTGAGCATTGAGTAACATTTACTGTGACTGAGGCTGTAACTTGTCTAAACAGAATAATTCCTCACCTCTTCTTTAACAATAGCGACTCTGATTCTGTTCTGCATTTAGTTTAGTAGAGTGCCCAACTATATTTCTTGGCATCTCTTACAGTCAGGTCTAGCTAATCAGGCCAAAGAAATGATATATCAAATATAGGACCAATGTTATCCTGATATAACTGGAATTTGTTGGATGGGGCTTTCGGACAGGAACTTTAAAACAGTGAGAGCTAGGAAACTACTTTTTGGACTGGCTCTTCTCTTTCTACTTTGTATGTGGAGTTAATGGCTGGAATACCAGCAGCTTTTCTTGTGATGCTGAGGATATAAGCCATGCCTCTGGACTGTCAGAGAAAAATAAATAAATAAAAGAACCCGATTCCCTGGTAATTTTATGGAGTTTTCACACAAGCCCTAGACTTCCTACTTCTGGACTTGGATGTGAGCGAACAAAATCTTATGTAACTAACCTCTGTATTCACAGCCAAAGAAGATTTCCTTGGGACTTTCAAAAACAGTACATAGATCCAGCAGAAAAGGGGCCTCAGAGCAAAGGTGAGCAGTACCTCATGGTAAGGCTGCCCTGACCTCAGAAGCTCTGGGTTTTAGCTAATTGTAACAGGTTGATGGTGACAGAAGAGAAGGAGATGTGGATCATCCCCGTACCCATAGGGTAGCATAATTCTTTGTAAATCCTTCAACAGCTACCCTGAGAGGACACAGCAGTTTTCCATAACTTCCTTGAAAAGCCTTATCAGTACGTCTATTTTACAGAAGCCTAAGTTGAAGTAAGATGCCCCTCAGTTGAATAAGTAATTTTATGAATTTTATAAAATCATAAGATTCTTTTAGCTCTTGTGAGTGAAAATACCAAGTGTAAACTGGCAAGCCAGGGTCAGGCTGAACGGACCCTGAATGTCCCATGTCTGAGCAAAGTTGCTATAGACCACTATGTCACCTGGCTGGATAGAAATGGCCGAGGTAGACCTCCACATCTCAGATACCTTTGCCTTCTTCAGTCTTCACGGTTGCTGTTTCCAAATACCAGGTAACGTTTCAGATGGGCATCTATAAGATTCCAGAAATCCACCATGGCTGTTCTTGTGAGGTTGGCAGCCACCTCTACAGCTCTCTGGGCTCTTTTCTGGACTCTATTTGCAATGGCTTCTCTGCCATTAGCATTCTTATGAATGGTAGGAAACTTTACAACTAAATTCCTGATGCTCTGTATTAGATTTTTTTAAGGATTTGGCCACAGACTCTTAGGTCCCTTGGGCAATTGCTTCCTTGAAACTCCAGGTGCTAGGTCCAGAGAACCTCTGTCTCTCCCAGTGGCTTGTCTTCAGAGTCTTCTTACCTGATCCAAGCCTGTCCCCTCCTTCATCCCCTGGTCCTAACCACCACTCCAGGCTTCACTGTGAATCCCTGCTCATGACCACAGTTCTTCCTTGAAACACTGCTGCCACTAGAGGGACCAGGGGCCATAGATGGCCAGGATCCCAGTCTTTGCCTAGATTCCCTAGGAAACAAAGCCTGAGGCAAGAATGTACCTCCTTCATGAGGGACAAACCCAAGGCAGCAAGAGTGAGAAAAAGGAAGTGGAGCAGGAAGAAAGGGAAGAAAAGCAAGTGATCTGTTACCCATTGGCCTCTACTTCACATGCTGAGGAGTGAGATGAGTCAGAAAGTGCATCCACTTGGTTCCGCAAGAATTCTCCAAATACTGCAGAAACCACATGTGGAGGAATTGGTGGGTGAAGGTGAACAGAAGGAATTTATCTGATCAGCTCCCTCTGTCTTCAGGTTGCATCATTCAGCCACTCCTAAGGAAGCCAGGGCCCATAGCCCACTGGGTGGAACTTTGACAAGCCTGGAATTGATGTGAGGAGGAGCCAGAAACCTGACATCTGCAGCTGTGGCCTGTGGCAAGAGGGAGGGCCTGGCACCCCTGGGCCGGTAGCTGTGCAGCCACAGTTGGTGCAGTCAATGGCTGAGAAGGCTCTGGCCACTGAGGTAGAGCAGGTGCTTGGCAGCCCAGGGTAACGGGACTAGGCCCAGGATACAGGCCTTGTTTACTCCCTGTGTGATTCGTTCCAAGCCCAACTTTCTGCCGCAAGTCTGACTTTCTCCTCATGGCCTGGGACCTTTAGCACCTCTCTCTTAAACCTTCACCTCCTTGCCACAGAAATCCATCTTTTGTGTTTTTGGTTTTGCCTTCTTCCATGTTAACAGATTCCTCATTCCTTTCTCTTAATATCAACTTTCATATAAAAGTAAATGACCAATCAGATGAACATCATTACCCTAAGTACATGTATGAAGACACAAATGATGTGACTCTACTTTGTGTACAAGCCGAGACATGAAGAATTGTGCTCTATATGTATAATGTGAATTGAATCACATTCTGTTGTCATATTTAACAAGTTGGAATAAATAAAATAAAATTTAAAAAACATAAGTGACCACTTATGACTTTTTATACCTTCTTGTGTCGCAGTCTGGCTGCAGCAAAATAACCGGCGGGTGACGAGCAACTTGTGTACATTGATACAGCAGGAGTGGGAGCTGTTTATTGTAGGACCGGAGGGGTATATATACATTCCACACAGCTTATCTTAATTAACATAAACTAGATACAGCAGTCAACCAATAAGGAATCTCCACACTTAATGGCTCACTGGCCTTACTTCACAAACCACTCCCTCTGGCAAAATGCCAGGCGCCATCCTGACTTGTTTATAGACCCTAACATCTTGAGGAAGGAAAGAATTCTTTTCTGATAGGATGTTGTGGCAGATTCAAAGAGACACTAGACCAAAAAGGAGGCCTTCAATAAATTTAGAAGAACTCAAGGACAATCCACCTGCAACAGGCAAGGGGAACTCACTGGATACCAGTGGCTTTTTATTCCAAAGTGTTCTTCCAACTGTACTCTACTGCCAGGTGACACCAGTTTTTGTGCTTGGGGGACTGCTACTGCTCAGGATCACATTATTCTAAAGTAGAGCCTATATAAACAAAAATAGGGTTATGAGGGAAGTCCAAATTTTTCCAGAAGAACATAAATGAAAGCCAAGAAAACCAACATGGACCATATTAGCCTCAGGCACTTTTGCCTTCTCTACACACTACATAGAAGGGTATGCTCTCAGTTATTGATCATCTACATACCAGTGAATATTCTGAAAATACTCCTTGATCTATGGAGCTTAATCTCTAATGTTTGTATGTTAGGGCTGAAGCCAAGCCCTTGTCCCAGAACTGTGGAATGGTGACCCAGGCAGACTGGAGTACAGGTGGCAAGCATGGGCCCACAGTCCTGCAGAGCCCACCATGTGGAGGTAAGCCAGGTGCCCTGACCTGTCCTGCCCCAGTGGCCTGACCCAGGGCTGGATGTGGTCATCTGCTGCAGAAGCCTGTCTCACACAGTGCTGCTGCAGAAACTCACACAGTGCTGCAGCCCAAACCTTGAGGTCCAGGATCTCAGGATCTCACTTCCCTCCTGGAATGGCAGAAAAATCGGATTAGGGCAGTCCCAAATGGGATTGCAGGGCTTACTGGGGGCATTAATACTTTTCCAAACTCTGATTAGCATAAGTGTGGACCAATAGCATTCACTCAAGTGCTAATATAAACCCTAGATCAGCACACTCAGACAGCAACCCCTGTCAGGTCTCCATTGCCCACTTGAATAAATCCTACGTTTATACTCACCCTTGTGGATTTCATTCTTTGAATTCATGAGACAAGAACGCCAAAAAAGGAAACTGGTGGCGAGCTGCTGGGGTCTGCTGCAACACTGGAGGGTGTAGCCTGCCATTCAGAGTGGCAACATGTTTCTCAGCTGCAGAGACCTGCGGCGTAAACAGATCCCATGTGCCAGGAGAAGTGAAGAACTCCAGTTTCAGGATCACCTAATAAACAAAATAAACAAGTATATATTAGAAAAAGCAAAATGCTGTGGGAAAAAGAAGTGTTGTCAGGGCAGGCTCCAGAGGTAAACAAAGGCTTGGAGGTGAAACAGCAAGGCGTGTAGCCACGAGAGGGAAGGAGACCCAGATGGAACTAACACAGAGGCTGCCCAGTGAAAGCATTCTTCACTTGAATGAAGGATGAAAAAGAGGACAGTTTATCTGCAGCAGAACAAGTGACGGGGAATCATAGAAGATGAGTTCAAAGAACTAGTGGGGGTAAATGGTTCAGATTATGAAGGGATGTGGGCCATTATAAGGACTTTGGCTTTTACCCTGAGATGGACAAGCCACGGTGCTGAGAATAGAATGTTTAGGGCAAGTGTACAAGTCAGAGTAGTTAGCAGCTGTTTGCAGTGATTCTGGCAAAAGATGATGTAGACTTGGATCAGGGTGGTCGTAATGCACTCTGAAATGTGATCAGGTTCTGCATATATTTTAATATAGCCAGAAGGGTCTGCTGAGGAACTGAAAGTAGAGTGTGAGATAAAGAGAAGGACAATGGCTCAGTTTGAACTGAGCAACTGTAAGGATGGAGTTGCCATTTACTGAGGTGGGTAAACTGCAGTGGAAGAGGTATGGCAATGGGAGAGACAGAGAAGTTCAGTTTTGAATATGCCATGTTAGACATTTATTAAACATCAACTAAAGAAAGCTGAGGAGATAGCTCAAGTTCAAGGAAGAAACCCAGGCTAGAGATATAAATTGAGGGTAGACCACAACTGAATGGCATTTAGAGCATCTAGGCTGAAAAAGATCACCTAAATGTTGACAGAAAAAGAAAAGACCCAAAGTTTGAGCTCTGGGGCCTTTGGACATTTAGTTGATTCCCAGATGTGCAGCTTCAGCTTTACCTGGGAACTTGATGAAGATGAAAATTCTCAGGCCGTACACCAGACCAGCTGAATGAAGGTGGTACCCAGCACTGCTTTAAGACTCCAAGTAATTCTGATTATGGCAGTTTGAAAACCACAGGTTCAGAGACTGGGCAGAAGAGGAGGACATAACTAAAAAGACTGAGGAGTGACTAGTCAGGGAGGAAGAAAATCAGAGAGTGTTTCCAGGAGCAAGATAGTAGTCAACTTTTCTCATTGCTGTTCATAAGTAAAATGAGGTAAAGACTGAGGACTGATGTAGTAACAAAAAAAAAATGAATTTATGTGAAGATATTTAACAAGAAAAAAGGCATTCCCTGATGTTTCAGACAGGTCAGCTGGGGGTGCCCTTCGAATATATTTTCTGAAAGAAACAGCCCATCCCTTATCTCCTGCTGATGGAAAGGGAGAGACTCTCTCCCACTGCTGTTTGAGCTGACAGAGGTCACGCAAGCTCCTTCTTCCTCTGCCTCTAGTTGACTACACTAAATCCACAGATCAATTAGGAGATAAGTGTATCCCTGTAGGAGAAACCCTAAATAGCAGTGGCTTATACAAAATATTTTATATCTCTTTCAAGTTCTGTTTGAACAAACTGTCTGGGGCTCATTCCTTCTATCTCGTTGGTGTGCCTTTCCTAGGGTGTTAACCTTGTCCACACTGTCCACGAGGACATCTCCAGCCAGCATGGAGAAAAACTCATCTCCTTAAGAAACAATTTTCCTCTCTGTCCCCAGCAAAAGGCAGGAATATTTACCCTGAGGAGGCTTAGTCTAGCTAAAAGTTATGGTACTCTATTAGAGAAAGGACCATTGAACACAATGCTTGTACACAGAGATCAGCTAAGCAAATTGGATTTTCCTCCTTAGGACTATGATCTGGATAGCAAGCCGGCTACTTAATTACGGGATGATAAAAGAGAGCATGCAGTAGCTGAAGATCCGCTGACTCCGGGAGCTCGAGGGGGTCTAGAAGCTCGTATTTTCGGGCTGGTCTCCCTAAGGTCAGCGGTCCCAGTTACTGGTGGTTCTTGGGAACTCTTTCCGGGTTTTTCCAGGACTGATATTCCATTTCTCCTCATGAAGCAGGGCAGCTTGGACCCAGCATCGCCGGTTACTGGAAGTAAACTGAAGCAATCTCTGTTGCAACACAACAGTCCCAATTAACGCAGCCTCCGGGCACTTCCCCTCGGAGGGCTCACAGCCATGAGACGCGAAGTCTGCGGGGATGAGAAGCACCGCGCTCGCAAGCCACAGTTGCGCGCTGTCAACGTCCCACGCGAGGTGGGGCTTGTCGCGCGCAGCTTCCCACCCACAGCCCCGGGGAAGCGTTCCTATGTTGCGAGGGGCGGGGCGCCGAGCGGGACGGCACGCGCGGGGCCCTCTGGGAAGCGCGACGCCACGGCGCCCGCGGAGCATGCTGGGAGTTGTAGTTCCGCCTCGCGGTCGGCCGGCGCCACTTGGCCCGGCTGCTCTTACCTGTCGGATTCCGGCTTCGTCCGTGTCGGGCTAGAGGCCCGACCCAGGCTGGAGGAGGGCTGAGAGCGGGTCCTTCTGAGTCCGCGTGCCCGGAAGGAGGGCAGAGGGAGGCCTGGAGCCGGGGCGGGTATCCCCGACCCTGCCCCCGGCGTGGGCCGCGGGAGGCAGTCGCCATGGAGCCGGAGGGCAGAGGTGAGAATCGAGCGATGCGGGCGCGGTGCCGGCTGGGGACAAGGGACCGGAGGACTGCCCTCCGGCTGGGGCAGGCGGGAGCACGGGGAAGCATCACGTCCTCCCCGCAGCGCCGCTGCCCACCCGCTGGCCTCGCGACGCGGAGCAGGGAGACCGGTTCCCTCTGTTGCCTGCGGGTCTGTAGAGTGTCTCCTGTCCCCAGGTCTGCAGATCCGACTGCATAGTGGGTCTTGACTTTCTTTTGTTCTCGCAGCAGCCCGACAAGGCAGTAGAAAGGAGACGGACGCTTGACAGACAGGGAAAGCGAGGCTGTCGGATAGTCTAGAATCCTGTTCCATTGCTTTTCCAAGACAGCCAGGAGTGTATCCGAAAAGCTAGTTTTCAAAAAGAATTAGTTTAGTCTTCATCCATTGAGCCTGGAACACAACAGAAACTTGTCATTGATTGAGGCAGGGATTAACCGTACAAGGACCGAGAGTGTTATCTTAACAACCCAACAGATGAGAGAGAGAAATATGTATTTAGGGTCCACTTTCTCACAGGTGCGTTTACTGGGGCTTAAGATTAGAGAAGGCAGTAGGATCTTGAGGCAGCAGTGGCCCTGTTGTTTGTGTCCAGGGTGTTGTGGGATCTCCTTTGGTTCCCTGTGTTGATTCTTAGTGAATTAGTTGCTGCATGGCAGTTTCTGCTACTTCACTGCAAGGCCAGAATAATTGTCATGACTTCTCTCTCCACTTGTAGGGTCATTTTCTGAGGACTCAAACCTTCCCAGTACCGCAAAGCCAAAAGAAAATGGAGTAACTGATATACTGCTGACTCCTGGGTCGCAGGTAAGTTTAGGTTTCTTCTTTTTCCCTTTGTTCTTAACATGGTTATATTTTCATTGTTAAGAAATTGCTCCACCTTGAATCCTAGACCTCTGAATTCCTCCTGGAATGGACGAGTGATGAACTTCACGGGGAATGCTCCTGACCTGCACAAAATTTTCCTTCCCAGTACTGCTTCTTCTCCTCTAAGGGCTTGTTGGCATCTGCTAGCCACTCAGTAGTGTAATTGGCCTTGCAGTGAGATATAAGGTAATAACACACACTTGCCCTGCCTTGTGGAGTTTCCTGAGGAGTAAGACATAAATAAGTAAAATAAACAGTGTGAAGGGAAAAAAAATACACACACACACACACACACGCAGGCTCTCTCTTGTCCAACGAGGAGGTCCATAGAACAGGGTACAGGAGAGTGTGGCTGCGGAGTCACTAATCAAGACCTCCGGAGACCAAGCAGGAAGCAGGTCTGATTTTATTGTGCAGTTACCATGTATATATATTCAGGCAGCAGCTAAGCATATTACAAGCAGCCACCAATGAAATTGCTGGTCAACTGTCCCTGCAGCTACCAGTCTAGGGGTGGACCATGGAGCAAGCGCAGGGACTACAACACAAGGTCTCACACCCAGGGCTGTGCCTACGGCATAAGCGGTTTGCCACTTACATGCCTAGCTCTGGGGAGTGGTTTGCCACTCAAATGCCCTTAACATATGTCATGTATGCAGTACTCCATGCAGTTGTACACACACACACACACACACACACACATTAAATGTAGAAATGACTGCTGCAAGTCATTGGCCCTGGAACTTTCCCATTATCTACAGTATTTGGAGAAGGTTTGGAATAAAAGCTACACTTTAGAAAACAAGAGAATGTGCATAGTTGAAGAGCAGAATGATACAAGGAATATTCTAAGAAAAAAAATGTCTTTGGTAAAACAAACCCACACATCAAGTGATGAGAGAGTTGGAGGTGATCAAGGGTTGTCACTGTGGGGGTGAAGGAAATGTGGATGCGTTATAGCCAGATCACAAGAAAATCTCTGCTGAGTTTGACTCCAAAGGCAGATAAGCCCATGGAGGTTTTTAGAGGCAAAGCAAGATGAACCCAGCCCAGCCAGGTGCAGTGGTGCTCGCCTGCAATCCCAGGTACTTGGGAGACTGAAGCAGGAGAATCCCAAGTTCCAGGCCAGCCTGGGCAACTTAGTGAGATGGTGTCTCAAAATAAAAAAGACTTTGGGGAGTAGTTCAATGGTAGAGCACTCCTGAGTTCAATCCCTAGTAAATCCACCACCCCCCACCCACCCAACATACATAGAAAGATGAAACGTAATAACTGAAGAGAGACAATGAGTGAAGGTGCCTCTGTAGAATCTGGCTAGGATACTGGGAGATCTGCAGCCCCTTCAGTACAGAACCTGGGACAACGTGTCTGTATCAAGTCTGGCTTCAGGGCATCCAGGTGGTCGTGATCCATGCACAATGGTGGGAGAAAATGCCAGTACGGATTTTTATCTCTGAGTTTGTAGATCACTTTCAGAAGGAATAGGGGTGAGGAGGTCAGCAGTATCTGCTAGGCAGTGTCTGGTTGGGCTGCCTGTGAGCCCCAGCGCATGTTCTTAAAGGAGTTTGCTTGAGGATGTTTTCTTGGGGAGCTAGGTTAGCATTGGCATTGTTTGTAAAGGAAGAAAACTACAAATTATATTGTTCGTATTGATCACTTCTGAGTAATATTCCCTTAAAAAGTGCAGTGCTTCATACTTCAAGTGTCACAATAAGAGTTTATTTTAGCCAAGTGGTCTTCAAAGTAGGTAATTCTTTTAACTTTATTTCATTTTGTTCATTGCTTTATCAGTTGTTTTTGGAGAGAGAGCTATGTCTTATACATTAGAATGCTGAATATAAACAGAAATAACTGTTCAGGTGCAGTCATACGCCACATAGGATGTTTCAGTCAGCAACGGGCCACATATGTGAGGCCTGCCCTGTAGGATTGTGTCCCCCAGTGTTGGCACAGTTGTCTTAGTGTTCTTTAATTACCCTCTATGATGTTTGCGCCAGTGTGGGATTGCCTCACCACGCATTTCTCAGACTGTGTATCCATTGTGAAAGGTGCATGGCAGTTTATGTTCTGGGGCCTGTGGCAAAAGTGGTAGTTCAAAGAGGGGAAAGACTTATTTTGCTAGCAATTCAGGGGCTGGTCTGTCTTATAGTGTATCTCAGGTTAGTGTGTGTAGTTGTATAGAAGTTCCCTTTCTAGATTAGAAAAATGATTAGGCATTTGTCTTATTAGCAATAAACAGATTCAAAGGAGCATATTACCTATCTTGCTCCCTCTTCCCACACTTTAGTAGATACACTAAACTTGGTGCCTGTCATCTAGATAAAGATTAGGGTAAACATTTCTGCAGCGTTTTCAGTGTTAGATATACTTCTGTTCCCTCCCCTCCTTTGTTCCTATGCACATTTTTATAGAGTACCTTTTTAAACTTGTTTCTGCTAATTCTTATTCATTTGTTTCTCCCTTCATTCAACTCTTCAACAAATGTTTTTGGAGTTCCTGCTCTGTGACAGGTCCTAGGGCTGTTTTGATAAGCAAAACCAGACCTAGCCTCTGCTCTGTGGAGATTACATCTAGTGGGCCAGACAGACGTTAATCACAAAGTCCCTTCAGCACGTGTACCCAAAAGAAAGGAAGGAGCATGGTGCTATAGCCAGAGAGGAGGAAGGCTTCCTTAATGAGGTGACCCTGAGCTGAGATGTGAAATGTTGGGATTCAAGTAGCTGAAAAGATGGTGGAGAGGAGAGAACATTCAGAACAGGAAGCATCAGGGAGGGTTAATAGGGACTGGCACACATTTTAGAAAGCTGAAAGGTGGCGTTCAGCTGAAGCACAGAGAGCGTTAGAAGAGCATGAGGAGATAGAGAGCAAGGGGCCGGGCCATCAGGCCCTTGTGGGCAATGACAAGACCACCATGGGGACTTCCATAATAATTTGAGCTTGAATATATCCATATTTGTGGCACGTGAAGCAAACATCTTAATTTTTAATATATTGGACTGAGTTTATTCTAAAAACTAGAGAGAAAATAGTTATACTTTGTGAACTTCTTGTATTTAAAAAGCCATACTATAAATAAAATATTTAATTCATATTTACATTTTTTCCCTTATCCTAATAGTAAGGAATTCTCCAGTTCTTAATTTAACTCAATGATAGGGAATTAAGAACTCTGTCCCTCAGGTTTCACACTGAAGGTGCTCTCCTTCCTGCCTGTAGGTGACACGAGGTCTGGTATATGATGGAGACAGTGATCTGCGGACTGCACGTGTGCCTGAGGACCTTGGTGTTGGAAGGTGTGGCAGAATCGTTTTTCTCGCCTTCCTAGCCTTCCTGTCTCCTCCTCCTGTGCTGTCAGTTTGGGTCCTTCCCAGAAGCCTCTGGAAGGAGGCCCACTGGTAAGCACCGATGTGTTTGTTTTTTCAGGAATCGTTGATGATCAGGGATGTGGCTGAGGCTCTCCACCAGTGGGGACAGCTGAACACTCCTTCAGGAGATAGGCCTGAAAAGCATCGCAGTCTGGTCCTGCTGGGTAAGGAGGGCTTCCCAGCCCCTTTTGCATTCAACTCTAGTGCTTGGGCTTCCTTGGTTCCTAGGAGCTCTGAGGTCCTTGGATTCAAAGATTCTTAATTTCTATAAGGCCTGTCTTTTTGGTTTTTTGTTTTCATTTTGTTTCAGGATATAGTTCTAACTCTCCCAGAGTTAGAAATGGGCACCTTCATCATCTGGACCTGTAGCATCCTCCTCTGCTCCTTGACCAAGGATGTCAGGACAGAGTTCTAGTGAAAACTATTCTTAAGATAAAAACAAGTGACTGGATTGTTCCAAACTTAACCCCCTTCTTAGTCCCTCAACCTTCTGAGCACTGCAGGGAGGAAGTGCAGAGCTGACCTCCCCCTCTTGTGCTGTCTTCCCTTAAGACCAAGGAGCTAAGCTGGCCTCCTCACCAGACTCCCCTTCCTTTCCCATGAACAGGACTTCCAATTTCCAAGCCTGATGTGATCTCTCAGTTGGAGTGTAGGGAGGAGCTGGAGAGAGAAGTCTCAAAAGCAGACAGTCGAGGTGAGTGAGCATTGGGAACAGTAGAAATGAAACAGATGGTTGTGGAAAGGCCTGTGGAGGAGCCATCGAGTTTCCCTCCACCCACGGAGAAGCTCAAGTGGAGTCCTGGCCTCTCCTGGGCCACATCCCAGCTCTGAGGGTGGTGGTCAGTTGATAAAGTCTGAATTTGAATAAATTTGAGTAAATCTTTTTCACCCTTTCAAACTAATTCTTTTCCCCAAATATGGTGATTGTAATGTTTGCTAATAACTTCCTTGAGTTTGCTGGGAGAGGCTCTAAGTCAGGATTCTTCATACTTGTTTTTTCTCTGCAGGATGCTGCTGCTTTTTTTCAGTCTAGGCCAATGTCTAAATTGATCTCTGGCTTTTCCTTTTCCTTTCCCTTGTCCAGGCAGAGGCAGCCTGGTGGGCAGGTGTGCAGACTTCAGAACCAGTCTTCGGGTTCAAAGCCCACCGTAGCTACTCAGTGCTCTGTGATCTTTGACAAGTGATTTATCCTCTCTGTAAAATGGGGGTTGTCATGGCACTTAACTAGGATTGTGGCAAGGGGAAAATGAAATCATCCAAGAGAAATGTTTAGAACAAACCGGGCACAGTGATGCCTGCTTATAATCCCAGCAGCTACGGAGGCTGAGGCAGGAGGATTGCAAGTTCAAAGCAACTTAGTGAGACCCTGTCTCTCTTTTTTTTTTCCATAATTTTTTTTTAAGTATTTGTTCTTTTTAGTTATTTTGCCTTTAAATAAAATATTAAAAAGGGCTGGGGATGTGACTCCATGGTTAAAAACTCCTAGTTCAATCCCCAGTACTAAAAATAAAAATGTTTAGGAGTTGGCTGTATGCTAAGCAAGTGAACACTCTTGCTCCCTGTCCTGCCTTCTGGTGCTGAGGATTGAACCCAGGGCCTTGCACCTGCTAGGCAAGCACTCTGCAACTGAACTGAACCTCCAACCCCAAGTGAATGTCACTGATTATATACTGGTGACTTTTTTTTAAGATGTCATGGATTTAACCCTATTATCTCTCTCAAACTAGATCATTGCAATAGCCTATCAGCTAATTGTAGTTTCTTTAATCTTATCCTGTGTACTTGAGGAAGCATACCATTGCTAGATTTCCCAAGTGGATTACTTACTGTGCCAGTGCTGTATTCCTCTATCCATTTTCAAGGCCTTTGTTAGTCCACCTGCCTAAATTATTTGCCTTCTCTATTCTCCAGCTTGAATCTTTAATACCACTAAGAAAGTTCCTCAGCATCCTTCACTCCACATATGTTCTCCACAGATATTTGGGGTTTAAATTTTTCCACTTGCTTAGCTTAAAGTCCATTTGTCTAAACTTTTTTCTTCCTATTTATTCTTTAAAATACCAACCATTTCCCTGAGTATAATATGAAGTTAATAATATTGCGTTGCATTGATTGATTTCATTTAGAAACATGGATGGATAGTAAAGACCATCCATATTAGTTCATTTTGTGTTGCTACAACAAAGTACCTGAGGCTGGGTACTTTATAAAGAAATGTGGTTCTTTTAGTTCATAGTTCTAGAGATTTGAGAGCATGGCAATAACGTATGCTCCACCCTGGCAAGGGCCCCCTTGGCTGCATTATAACATGGTAGAGAAATGGAAAGGATCAAAGCTTGTGCCAAGCATGTCGCTGGCCTCACTTTATACTAACCAGCACCTGCAGTTATACATGCATTCCTGCTACCAGCATTAATCCCCTTCTGAGGGAGGTGCCTGTGATCCTTTTACCTTCCATCAGACCCCACCTCTTAGGGGTTCCATCACCTCGACACTGCTGTGTTGGGAACCAGGCTTCCAGCATGTGAACCCTTGGGAACCCTCACACCGTATCTAAACAGTAGCACCACCTAAGCCTGGAAGGCTTTAAACATTTCAACAGTAAAGGTTTTCACTCTTACTTGGAAGCCCAGGACCTTGGGGCAGGTAACCCGACAGGTCAGGGGCCAATCTGAGCACAGGGGCTTTGACCTTCTCTCCACACCCTGCTCTGTTGCTGCTCCTTCTCTTCCTCCCATCCCCTACCTCTCCTCCCATCTCCTACCTCTCCTCTTCTTTCCCAGCCACCTGTTCCTCCTGTCCTCAAGATCGGAAGGCTTCTTTTGAGAGCTTTGAAGTTCATTTGTTTCCTGAAAGCATTGTTTGTTGGTTTTATTATTTTTTGACCATAGCAGGTATTTTTCTCAGAATAGGAAATGATGCCTGTATAATTTTGCTTCTTTCAGACTGGGAGACGATACCAGAAAGCAAGGAACTAACTCCAGAGAAGGACTTTGCTGCAGAGGAATCAGCCCCTGGAGTGTTAATAGAAAGATTTCCAAAGGAAGGTTCCAGTGGATGTGAAGACTCTTTAGAGAGTCAGCAGGAGAATCACGAGAAACATTCAATTCAAGAAGTTGTCACCCAGAAGAAACTTTCTGGGGAGAGAAGTTACCAGTGTGATGAATTTAGAAGAAATCTGAGCCGGCGGTCATTACTAGTCCAACAACAAGGAGAGACACTTCATAACTTTGATTCGTTTAAAAAGAACTTGAAACAAAATTCAGATATAATCAAGCATGAAAGGATGTGTGCAGGGAAGAAACCGTGGAAGTGCGACGAGTGTGACAAAGCCTTCAGTTACTACTCGGCTTTTGTCTTGCATCAGAGAATCCACACGGGAGAAAAGCCCTACGAGTGTAAGGACTGTGGCAAAGCCTTCAGCCAGAGCATTCACCTCACTCTGCACCAGAGAGTCCACACTGGAGAGAAGCCCTACGCCTGCCACGAGTGTGGGAAGGCCTTCAGCCACCGCTCCGCCCTTATCCGCCATCACATCATCCACACTGGGGAGAGGCCCTACGAGTGCAGCGAGTGCGGCAAGGCCTTCAACCAGAGCTCCTACCTCACCCAGCACCAGCGCATCCACACCGGGGAGAGGCCCTACGAGTGCAGCCAGTGTGGCAAGGCCTTCAGCCAGAGCACCTTCCTCACCCAGCACCAGGTCATCCACACGGGGGAAAAGCCCTACAAGTGCAATGAGTGCGGCAAGGCCTTCAGTGACCGTTCAGGCCTCATCCAGCACCAGAGGACTCACACCGGGGAGAGGCCCTATGAGTGCAGCCAGTGCGGCAAGGCCTTTGGCTACTGTTCTGCCCTGACCCAGCACCAGAGGACTCACACTGGGGAGAAGCCCTACAAATGCACCGACTGCGCCAAAGCCTTCAGTGACCGCTCAGCGCTCATTCGTCATCAGAGGACACACACTGGGGAGAAACCCTACAAGTGTAAGGACTGCGGGAAGGCCTTCAGCCAGAGCTCATCTCTCACAAAACATCAGAAAACACACACTGGAGAACGACCCTACAAGTGCCAGGCCTGTGGGAAGGCCTTCAGCCAGAGTTCCTCCCTTTCTCAGCACCAAAAAACACACAGGGGAGGGAAAACCAAGGAACACGCAGTGGCCCTTAATGAGCATCCAGCCTTTGGCCAACAGAGAGGATCCATACTGGGTGAATGCACATAAGGGTGTATTTACTGGGTTTACCAGACATGCTGTGAGGACCATAAAGAATAAAAAAGTCATTGTTGATGTGGCTGTAGCTTACCTAGACTGCTAAAGAGAGGTTTTACATGTTTTAAGGTGTCCTGATGGAGGGCACTGTGACTTCCCCTGGGGAAAGAGGAAATTTATTTCTCGTGTATATTAACTACCAGATCCTTGAGGGAGAAATAGGGTATGTCACGGGGAAAGGGGGCATCTGGCTGGGTTGTCTCATAAGGCTAAAGAGATCAGTGGTGAGCTGCAGGGGTAGAAATTAGAGATGGGGAATTCAGTCTGTCCAGGGTCAGGATGGTGGAGGAACAGAAGTTGTCCTTCAGCCTGAAGTTCAAGGATACAAAGGAGGGAGATGGAAAAAAAGAGAAAAAGACCTGGGGAGAGAGCCCAAGCAGTACTGATGGAGACCACGGCTCAACTAAGTGTTCACAGCCAGGAGCACCATTGCCCCTGCTTGTTGGTGGGTCCCAGAGTTTCTGTGAGGGCACCTTTATCCTGAAGCTAAGGAATTCTGGCCTGGGGGCCCTGCAGCTCCTTCTGTCCCCTACTGAGAATCAAGTTCACTCCAAGGATCATGGCCTATAGCTCGAAAGGGAGAGAACAGAAGAGACCTTTGATGTGTTCAGTCTGTTTTAACATATCTGAGTTACCTGAGAATGTTTATTTATGAAGATTTACCTCAGTTGTTGGTAGTTTGTACCTTAGATTTTTTTTTATACCATAGTAAAACTTAATTGTAAACTTGCGCTGACATTGCATATTAGATTGTGAAAACTTGAGAAGACTTTGAAATACTTGTCCTTCATTGTTTTTCTCTTGATTAGAGTCAAATGACATCTTTGTGTAAAACATATTTAATTGAAATTTTGAAGGTTATTATTGAAAACATTTTGAGAGCAGTGTCTTTAATTTCTAGAAGCTTCATCGTGTTGTGTTTTGGTGTAGTTTTTTGAGTGGACCTTTGGAGTTTGTTGTGTTGCTTTAATGTGTACGTTTATGTTTTTTGCAAAATTTAGGGAATTTTCAGCCATCATTTCTTCAGAATACATTTTCAGACCACTGCCCCGCCTCTTCTCTTTTCTGGTCTCTTGATGACAGAACTATTAGATCTTTGGTTGCAATCCCACAATTTCAGAGCTCTGAGCTCTGTTCTTTTTCTTTTTCCTTTTTAAATATATTTTTGCCTCAGTCTGCCATAACAAAACTCCGCCACCTGGGCGGCTCAAGAAGTTTATTTCCTGCAGTTTTGCATGTTGGGGAGTCTCGATCAGGGTGCCATGTGACTCTGCTGCTAGCTGGGGTTCTCTTTCTGGCTTACAGGTGGATGCCTTTGTGTTCTGTCTTTACATGAACTTTCTTCAGTGCGTGGACTGGGAGAGAGAAAGAGTCTCTTCCTCTTCTTGTAAGGCCACCAGTTCCCTTAGGTTAGGACCCCATATTTAGGTCCTCACCTAGTCATAATTACCTCCCAAAAGCCCTCTCCAATTACAGTCACGCTGGGAGTAAGGACTTTAACAAATGGATTCTAGGCAAGACACAGCTCAGTCTGTAGCACCCCCCCCCCACACACACACACAGAGTTCTTGTCCATGCATGAAAAATACACCCAAAATTTTAACTCATTCTGTCAACTATAAAACCTAAAATTCAAACTTTAATATAAATATCACCTAAATCAGGTATGAGTGAGATTTGAGATTCATCCTCAGGCAAAATTCCTCCCCAGCTGTGAACCTATGAAACCAAATAAGTTACTGCTTCCAAAATACAACTGTGGGCTGGGCGTAGAGGCACCATTTCTGTACCAAAGGGAAGAAACGGAAGAGGGAATGGGTAATGGACTCCAAGCAAGTCCTAAACCTAGCAAGGCAAACCCCATTAGATCCTTAGACTTGAAGATAGTCCTCTGTTGGCTTAATGCACTGTCTCTGGACCCACTAAAGTGTCAGCCCTGCCCCTGCAGCTCTGCCAGATGGCCGCACCCCCAAGGCTCTGCAGGGCAGTTTGCCTCAGGCTTCAGCTAAAGATGTCTGCCTGTTGAAACCAAGAGGAATTCTGTCAAATGGTTGTTCAGCCACATCCTTGATACTTCTTCCTAACAAACTTTCTCGTTCTTTGCTGTATGAATACAATTTTGCAAACTCTCAAGTTCAGATTCCTTCTTGCTTAGCATTTCATTCTTCAATTCATCTTTCCTGTTACTTCTTCCTAGAAGCAGCAAGGACTTAAGCTGTACCTTCAATACTTTGCTTAGGAATCTGCTAAATATCTAATTTCATCACTCCCAAATTTTGCCTCCCACAAAACACTAACATACAGTTCAGATAAGTTATTTGCAACTTTATAACAAGGATCATCTTTCCTCTAGTTCTATTAACACGTTCCATCACTGTCTAACCATCGAGCCACACCAGCACAGCCTTTAAGTTCCATGCATCTAGGATGTACCTCAAAATTCTTCCAGTCTCTACCCAGCTCCCAGTTCTAAAGCCACCTCCACATTTTTAGGGTATTTGTTAGTAGCATCCCACTTTGGGGTACCAAAATCAGTCTGCTCAGGTTGCCATAGACTGATAGGCCCAAATGAGAGATGTATTATGGTTCTGGAGGCTGGAAGTTCAAAAGCAAGGCCCAGCAGGGTTTAGTTCCCTGTGAGGGCTCTCTTCCTTGTTTGAAAATGGGGCCTTTTCACTGTTTGCTCGTGTAGCCTTACCTCAATACATGTGTGTGGAGAAAGAGAGCTGTCCCTTCCTCTCATAAGGCCGCCAAAACTATTGGACCAGGACCCCATATATGACCTCTTTTAACCTTGGTTACCTCCTGAGAGCCTCTGTCCATATATAGTCACCTTGGAGATGGGGTCTCAGTGTAATGAACTGCGGCGGGGAGGGCACAGTTCAGTCCCAGTAATTCTGTCTATTGTTAACATTGGACGTTTTTCTGTTCTTCAAGTCCACAGAGGGTTCTTCCGTTGTGCTTTAGAGCCTATCACTGAATTTTATTTCAGTTGTATTTTTTCAGTTTCATTTTATTATTCACTTTCTTTCCTGAGACTTATTTTTTTTAATTTGAGCCCTAAAATCTGTGCCAGGCAATTCTAACACCTGTGTCATCTCTTTGTGTTGGCATCTGTGGACAATTTTTCCACTCAAATCGGGATTTCCTTGGCTCTTGGTGTGATGAGGAGTTTTGTATTGGAACCTGGACATTTTGAGTTTCATTGGACTCCGTGTCTATTTGAGCCTTCTGTTTCCATGGGCTTCCTCTGCCTCCACTAGTGGAGAAGCTGGGGTGCTGCTTCATTACCTCAAGCTGGTGTTACAAGTCCAGTTTTATCATGGGCCTCTGTTTATGGGGGTCAGGGTCCTCAAGGTTGCTGGGCAGCAGTGGGGTTCACAGCTCCCCACCCGGCCTCCCAGATCACCCTGGCTGGGGAGGCCATGGATGCCTAGGTCTGCCCCCTGTGGGGTGGGGTGGGGTGAGCTCCCCACTGCTGGGCGCTGGCCTGAGTCCTGACTTCACTAGGCCCACTGACACCAGCAAGGACAGGGAGAGGCGTCTTGTCCTAAGGTAGAGGTGGAAGCCTTGTCTCTCCATGTGGTTTCCACGGAGACTGCAAGTGTGAGGATGAACAGAAAATATGTTCCCTTGACCTTTCCAGACACCACCCCAGGGTGGGATGGAGGGATGGGGAGCTTGTTAAAGCCTGGAGAGGGTGGAGGGCATGCTCCCACTCAGTCTGTTGGTGGGGATAGGGCTTCAGATTTCTCCCGTGTACTTTAAGAATAGGGCCTCAAAGTCTTCTGTCTTGCTGGGCTGCTCCTTTTGCTAGAAAGGGTAGACTTTTCTTGGGTCTTTAACAAAGCCATACCTGTTGGCATTCCTGGTTTGCCAGCTTCTCCACAATGCAATGTGGCAAAGAAGAGATATGAAGAGTCCCAAGAGCTCACTGCTGTGGTGTCCTTGGGCTCCTGGTCCCTAGCCGGTCCATTCTTGTTCCCCTTTTAGAATCTTCTTGTGTGTGTTTTGTGTGGAATATCCAGGATATTTGGCTGTGTTTAGGGAGAGGGCAAGGGGGAAGCACCATTCCATTTTTCCCTCGCAGCCTTGCTGGGGACACTGAAATGGCATGTCAGGTTGTGTCGAGTGCAACCCAAAAGTCCAGGGCACACAGAGGCCGTGTACAGAGAATTAGAGATGAGCCTCGAGAGCAGTGCTCCCCAGTTCCCCACGACCAGCTGCCCACTGGGAAGATGGAAACAGGCTGCTTCATCTGCCCTGGGGGGAGACATGCTTTTGAGTTGGGGAAACACCAGTGTTTAATTGTAGATGACAAGTTTGAGAAGGAAAAATAGATATGGCTAAGAATATTCACCACTGCGGTGTTCAAATTTTTCATTTGTATCTTTGTCCTAAGAGCATGTGAGAATCACTGGAAAACTGAGTTAACAATTTTGGACTTTTCCCCATTATGTATTATCTATATGTGGCTATCTTTATTTTAATTTGATACATGGTATCATAGAGAACCAACAAAAGAATGGAAATAACTGAGATTTGAGTCAAGTCACTTCACCCTTTGAGATCTGTCTCATATATGTGTGTGTGTTAACGTAGCCACCTGAGAGTGGTTAGAATTAGGTAGGAAATGGATACAAAAGTGATTTGTAAGCTATCAAGTGCTGCATAACTTATTATTGATGTCATTATTTATATCATGTGTGCTTTCTGATGGTATAGCTCAATAAAAATGACTACAGATACAATGGAATGGGTCTTCTTATGTCTTAGTAAAATAAGTTTTCTTAAACAGTAGTAGAATCTGCATCTTTGGTTTTCTCTACTAACATGATAAGTTACCTTGACATATTTTTTCAGTGTTAAAGAATCGTGCATTTCTCAGTCTCCCTCACATAGTCTTTTCCCCACCCCTGGAGGAGTTTGTATTCCTTGAAAGTTTGGTGGCATTCCCCTGCTAAAATGGAATCATTGTGTTTACAGGGTGTGTTTCAGCTGTTTTTAGGAGCTCGTCAGATTTTCTATTCTTCTTCAATGTTTCATTAGCTGTTCCTAAAAGCATATCCTTTGTCACTAAGTCCATTGTGCCTTGACTTTCGATTTTATTGTTCTGTCTGCTGTGTTCCTTTGTTTGTTCCTGGTGTGGTGGCTTCACATCCTTTTAATCTTGACTCTGTTTCCAGATGTTTGTCAGTTTTACTAGTCTTTTAAAAATAGTTGTTTTGGCTTTTGACATATTTTTTGGAACACTTGACTCAACTTTAACAATTTATACCTACAGCACGTGCACGGGCCCTCACCCAAAGTTTCTAAGCCAAATTCTGAGAATGGTGGACGAAGCGGAGTCACAGCACCTGGTGGCCGCTGAACAGCAGGAAGGGCAGCTCACTGCACAGGTGCTTCACTTCATGGAGCTGGGTTGGGATAAATGTGTGCAAAAGCCCTGGGATCGCCTAACTCTCCATTTGAAAACTGTCTCTCCAGCTGTGGGGACCACTTCATTGACACTCCATTGACACTTCATTGTCACCAGTCGGTTTGCCCAGACTGTACAGAAAGGAGGGCAGTAAGCCACCCCCTGAGCAAATGTCAAAAGCAGTGAAGGACTTGTTGTTAAGCAGACTGAAGTGCAGGTGGGGGAAGAACTGTCAACCCATTGTCAGTCAGCATCAGGCTGTTACCAAGTTTGTTGGTGTTAAGAAGTAACAGATCAAATGTTCCAAAAGTGAAATTTTATTTATTTTGGAATTCATAAATTCCAGGTTGTATCACAGCAGTTATTCCATAAACATGAATTCTCAAACAAACAAACAAGCAAAGTAGACATACAGTAAACTCCCGCTTCGTGTTCAACGAGTGCACAAAGCGGA